AGCAAATGCATATTTTTGCAAAGATTTGTGCTAGGGCAGGCGTCCCCAACCTTTTGGGCACCTGTTCCATGGAGAGTTTTTTTTCCGCAGATTGGAGGGGGTGCGGTTTCCCATGCTCCCTGCATCCTGCGGGTAGAGCTTCCCTTGTTTATATGGACCGGTTTCTGAAATGCCACAGACCGGAGCCAGTCCACAGACCAGGGGTTGGGGACCCCTGCGCTAAGGTATATCTACCAAGACATATTGGATCTCTGTTCTAGAAATAACTGAATAAATGCTGCATGCTGATTGCCCTGAGTATTCTTTGAAATAACTTTTAAAACATAATTTGGGAGAGATCTACAGGATGCACATTGTTTTTCAGGGGAATTATAACTTCCTGTTGCTATGATAATGCAAACGGTGCAACACAGGTGGTGTTTAGTTAGGTGTAAAATCTAACCGATCTAATTGTTCCTGACTGACTTCAAAATGCTAAACAGAGTCATGCCTAGACAGTATTTGGGCAGGAGACTGTAGTTCAACTGGGAAGTAAAAACAAGTCAAGAACTCAGTGACAAACTACTTCTTTACCATATATGACTGTTGCAGAGGTGGGATGTTGCCAGTTCAGCCAGCAGTGACCCAGGCCTGACATGCCCCCGAAACGGTTCCCTCACTGCCCTTTGGGTGCTGCCATTTTGAATGTTAATGACTATGCATGCACAGTTTACTGTAAATTGTTCTGACCATGCACGCAGAAGAATTTACATTGAACAGTGCACGCATGCATTGTGCACGGGTTGCGAACCAGCAGTAACGCCAGCAGCAAGAAATTACAAGTAGTCCTCAACTTACGACTACAACTGAACCCAAAATGTATGTTGTTAAGAAATTACTTAAGAGAGTTTTGACCCATTTTATGACCTTTCTTGCCATCTTTGTTAAGGGAATCACTGCAGTTGTTAAGATAGTAATATGGTTGTTAAGTGAATCTGGCTTTCCTATTGACTTTGTTTGTCAGAAGGTCGCAAAAGGTGATTGCATGACCACGAGACACTGCAGCCGTCATAAATGTGAGTCAGTTTTCAAGCAGCCGAATGTAAATCACGTGACCACTGGGATGCTGCAACAGTCATAAGCATGAAAAATGGTCATAAGTCACTTTTTTCAGTCCCATTGTAACTTTGAATGGTTACTAAACGAAGTGTTGTGAGTTGAGGACTACCTGTATTGATAGGGTCATCTGAAAAGTTTCCCAGAACTCTGCTGTCCTCAAGTGACTTCCTGCTTAAATAGATACTGTAAAAGAGAAGCCTATATGGACAATTCGTAAATTATCCTTTTCTTGGAAACACATTAATAGAGATAGTAGTATGAGGTTTAGCTAAGAGTTTAGCTCACTTGTTTGAATTATGTTTTTGTTATTTCCCAAGCTTGGTGCTGTACAAAACAGAAGTTTCAAAAGAAAAGGAAAAGAGGCAGCTAGTAATCAATGCATCAAGGGCCATTAAAAGTTGCTGCTGCTACTATAGGTTTAGCAAACCACAATTGGGACTCACGATTACATTTCTAAATTAAGCATGGCATGACTGCAGCCTATAATTTTCCTTCTGCCTTTTCTATTACTTCTGCTTGTCAGAATCAATGTTGCAAAGCAAATTGCAAGCATGACTGTGGTAATAAATGCACACTGGTTGCAAAGCACTGAATAGTGATCATGGAAGCATCAGTTGTAAATGTGTTAAATGCTCATAAAACTATTCACAACATTACACAAAATGGTCTTTAAATGAGGCAATTGGTAAGTGGGGACTACCTATAAATGTTTCTCATGGTATTTGCAGTTTTCTTCTACATATAGGGTGGTTGAATAAATAAAATTTACTTTGAATTGTGTGCAGCGGTGTTCATTCTCCAGAAGAATGCCTAAAACTGATATTACAGACCAACATCATGATGAAAGCAGGATTATTTCGGCTGTGTTTTAAAAATGTAATATGGGGAATTAATATTGTACATGGTGATTTTAGCAAGATTATGGTATACAAAAGCTTGGAAAAGCAATGAAATGTCCACAGTGCAAAATAGAAATGAGAAACAGAGATTATAAAACTAGCTGAAGCTTGCCAAAGCTTCATAGTTCATATGATTCTTATGGTTTTTATAATTCATGATTGCCTAAGTTTTTATCATTCTGAGAATTGGTTCTTTATTGGTTTCCATTCCAGCTTGACAAAAGAAACACCTACCAGGCACCAAGAGACAAATTGTGATTTTAGGAATCATTGACCTTCTCTCTAAAAGGCTTCATTTCATTCCTCTTCACTCTCACAATATGTTTTCTACAATCATTGCTTATTCCCCAGTTAAATACTACACATACCGGTACTTGAAAATTGGTTCATTGAAAATGTGAGCGTGCGCACAAGCATGCTTCACAAGCCTTCTGCACTTGCATGCAACACCTAAAACAAGGTGTTTCCGATGGGTAAGGCTTCTTGTACACATGTTAGGTCAGCCATGGTTAGTAGAACAGGTGAAGCACGCTAATCAGCTGAGCTGTAGGGCGGGTTGAGCAAGCCGGAAAGTGAGCTATCTAGGACCAGATAGTGGCAGGTGGGTGGGGCCAGCTGGTGCTCAGAACTACCGGTTTGGCCGAACCAGTCCAAACTGGCAGCAGCCAAACACTGGGTGGGAGATGAAGAGAATGGCTGAATTGTACTATTTCTTATTACTGGGATCTGTCACTTACTTTTCCAGACAGACACAGACCAACAGGCAAACCCCTTCTGTGGGTTTAAAAGAAATGTTAATGTTTAATTGTGTTTCATTCATTGGTTTGGATGGGAAGAACTTTTGGGTTGGCTATGGAAGTGGTTGTGAGTGTGGGTATCTGGCTGGCTGGCTGACTGACTGGCTGGCTGGCTGGCTGGCTAGCTGGCTGGAAAGGTAGGTTTCAGCATGCTCCTGGATTACTTTAAAATGATTCCCAACTCCCCCCCCCCCGCTTCTATTTTTTCTTTCTTTCTGGTTTTCTTGTTAACAGAGTTCAGCTGCTGTGACGTCAGTCAATCAAATTCTAGTAGCCAAGCTACTGGGTCGAGCATGCGAGTGCACACACTCACACACACACCATTTTGGAGCTGCGGCTGCTTTCCTGCCAATCTCCCCCACCCCATTTTTAACTTGCTCTTGGGTTATTATGATAAGGACACATACAACCTTTTTTTCTCCACTCCCCTGCCCACTTCACAAAAGCAATTTCCTTCCTTCCTTCCTTCCCCTTCCCCTTCCCCTCCTTCTCCTTCTCCTTCTCTTCCTCCACCAGTACAATGTCAAAGGATCGTAGAAACACTCAGCACAACTTGAGTGTAACACTGAGAAGATCTGAGCCAATATTTGACAGATGCTTTGCATAATCCTCAGAACAGCCTGCAAAGGTTTCCATGACGTTTTCTTATTTAGAAGGGGTAAGTCTCCTGAAATAGGATGGTCAGGCAGTTGTCAGTGGATGCAATAAGTATGTTTCGTCACCTCTCAGGCACAAGAAACCAAGGCCATACCATAGTTGATGAAATGGACTTTTTAAATTGCTGCAATGCCTATGTGCAAGGTTCTCACTAGACTGATTGCATTCTCTTTGGAAGAGTCAGGTAGGACTTCAAGGACTCTGGGGGAGATAAGGGCTGCACGCCTTTTGTTGTGCAAGGGCTCTAAATTCAGGCCTCTCTTCACCTCCCCTCACTTCAGCTAAAGATTCTACCATGCCACCCTTATTATCAGTAGGTAGCCTTAATAGACACAGTAGCTCAGCAACTAAGATGCTGAGCTTGTCAATCAGAAAGGTCACCAGTTTGGTGGTTCGAATCCTAGTGCCACGTAACAGAGTGAGGTCCCTTTACCTGTCCCAGCTTCTGCCAACCTAGCAGTTCGAAAGCATGTAAAAAATACAAGTAGAAAAATAGGAACCACTTTTGGTGGGAAGGTAACAGCGTTCCATGCACCTTCGGCATCTAGTCATGCCGGCCACATGACCATGGAGATGTCTTCGGACAGCGCTGGCTCTTTGGCTTTGAAATGGAGATGAGCACCGCCCCCTAGAGTTGGGAACGACTAGCACATATATGCGAGGGGAACCTTTACCTTTTAGCCTTTAATATGTCTTCCACCTGTGCTTGGTCAGATTCACTCTTTTATTTCCTCAAAAGGTGCTCTAGATACCTCTTAGGTGACCTTGATGACACAGGCCTTAATGACCCTTTAAAAGAATGCAAATGACCAGCTGTCTACAAGGAGTGTAAATCCTTCCATTCCCCACCATCCAGTCAGAGCTGAAGAAGCTTCTTGGATGAGAAGCGAAACATCTTCGAAGAAAAACCAGAAAGTCCAGTTGTCTCTTGAAAAATAGCACCTTTGGGACAACCAAGACCTGAAGGACTGAGAATCTCAATAGATACCACTTATGCTATTTCGTCTCCTATAGTCTTTCTGAAAACGAGTGGCCCCTCTGGGATCCACATAGCATAGGTGTGCCCCAATCCAAGGCTATTTGCTCATTCCAAGCAGCAACTAAAGCCTCAGCTATCTCTTATTCACATGTTACTAATCTAACCAGTGCAGTGATTCACTTAACAACTGTGGCAAGAAAGGCTGTAAAATGGGGCAAAATTCACTTAACAACTGTCTCACTTAACAACAAAAATATTGGGCTCAATTGCAGTCATAAGTGGAGGGCTGCCTGTATACGACATATTTAAACTACTGTCATGGGGTTTGCTAAAAGTCTTGATGTGGTTTGTTCTACTTTCATAATTATAAACTGAAGCGTTTGGAGGCTTTTCAGTGTATTTTTTAATTCTTTTTTAACAATTATCTTCTCTTGCAGCCATTCTCATTATCAGGCTACCAGAATGTAAACCAGTGGTGGGATTCAGCCAGTTTGCACCACTTCGGGAGAACTGGTTGTTAACTTTATGAGTGGTTTGGTAAACCGGTTGTTGGAAGAAATCATGAGGGCAGAGAACCTGTTGTTAAATTATTTGAATCCCACCACTGATGTAAACATACACAAATACACATATGTAGAAATCCACGGGCAGTACATGTGTATAAGGGAAGACGCTAGTAAGTTATTTGTTATTTTTGCGAAGGAAGGATAAAAGGATATTCATTAATCCATGGAGCATTAGAAGTTCAGAGGCAGAATATCAATGATTGACTAGGTTTAAAAGAGAAACTTCCAACAATGATTACGGTAGCTAGCATTCTCTGTCCTTGGCTAGTTTGGATGAAGAAAGTGGCAACGATAATTGCATGAAGATATTCTCAGCTTGGTCTGGAAGCACTCTTACAGTGGGCAAAGACTGGTACCGGCATACTTTTAACTGCATGGGTTTGCCAAAGGTGCAGTTGGAACTTCTATTCATAGGCTTCCTTCCTCCCAACTTTTCTACCCCGTCCCTTTTACAGAGCCTGAGCGGGTTTAGGCCAAGATCGAGTCAGCACAAAATCTGTGATGAAAGTGGGCAAGTAAGAGAGAGGAATGAAGATCCACCGAGAATCCCATCCAGCAGAATAGCGTGTACGGGGGTATTGGGATATCAAAGCGTGCTCTATACAGTCAGTCACCAGGTAGAGGTCTTTGCAGCAACGAGTTGCAAGATTGTCTTTGACCCCCTTGTAAACTGTTGAAAGAGAGAGACAGAGGGCACAAGGGGAAGGGAAAGAAAGGAAGTCAGTATGGAGATGTGGGGTCAAAATACCAGAGAGAATATAAATAAACAAAAGAGCCTCCTCATTATTACATGAACGAATGAGACAGTGATAGCTTTTAAATTTAAGGACAGCTTTCTCTGATTCTCAGAAGATTCTAAGCAGAGGTAGGCTTCAAAAATTTCGGCAACGAGTTCTCTGCCTGGTTGCTGGGTGGGTGTGGCCATGGTGGGCATGGCCTAGTCGGCCTCCTGCACCACGGCAGGTGGGGGCTTTCCTCGAACTTCTGGGAGGGTGAAAACTTCCTCCCCTGGGCTTTGGAGGCCCTCCAGAGGCCGGAAATGGGCCCGTTGCTGGCCTTCCAGGAGGCCCGTTTCCCCCCTCCGTGAGCCTCCGCACAGGCCCTGCACTTACCTCTCATCCAAAACAGGTCACCTGGAAACTCCTGGGAGGGGAAGGGCAAGGTGGAAGGGGTGGGGTGGGCGGGGCCAGCCATGGGTGGGATTTGGAGGTTCTCAAACTGGCCATATTATTAGCTACAGGTTCTCCTGAACCTGGGCAAACTCATAGCAGCCCATCCCTGATTCTAAGATGGGAAAAGTGAGTCTCTCCCCAGAGTTATTTCAAAAACCAAAGCACGGGTAAACTCCAGGAGCTCTGTTATTACAGCTCAGCATGGAAAAGCAGAATTGTGTTTTAGAAGAGGGCTTTCAGACCAGGAGAAAAGTCCAGTCTATAAATGGTCTAATTGATACCTTGAGTCAAGGCTTAGGACACCAAGAAATTCAAAGTTGTTCTTAGCTGACTCTCCCAGGCCACTTTACTTCCTCATCTAATAGCCCACAAGAATTTTACTCACTGCATGACTTTATAAAGCATCTGGAATTTAAGGCCGTTTTTAAAAATCCCCTCCAGATTTCAACTTGTTCATTCACTTTGGCCACCATGATGGCTGAGGTTTCTGTCCAGATCTGAATGAACATGGCCCCTGATTGGTAGATTCCCATGCTTCTTCCCCCACATGCACACCTATATCAGGAACCTCAGTGCCAATTGCTTTCCATGCTGTGGACAAGACAGTTATTTTCATAACCGGAGAGAAAAAAGGACAATCTTAGATCAGAGGTGCTAATACAGCTGAGGACTGACACCCAACCAAGCGGTCCAAAAAATGGACTTCAATGCATGTGACAAAAGCGTGGCCTTCAATCACCCGTATGATGGATACCACTGAAGCTGAGCAACAGCCCCTCCCAACTTCTGACTCCCAGTAAGATTCCCACAATTAGCCTGCAAACCACGTAAAGACTCACATGCATCGAAGTAAGCCTGGCCATAGCTTTCTTTGATTTGCTCTGGGACTTTCATCCATTGCTGCTCCAGGACATCAAGATTTTTTTGGGTATCAGTCATGGATGTGCGGAAATAGCCTGGCTCGATTATGGCTATTTTCACCCCAATTGAATGCATCTCACGCCTAGAAAAAAAATATCAATTCAGAGTCACTACCTGGAAGTGCTGCTTCTTCTTGATCTGATCATTTTCAATCTGGTGAGAAAATACCATTTCTACATCAATCCTGCCATGGAAATGCTCCCTTTGCCATTTAAGCAATACCCATCTTTTATTTCCCTTGATCATTAATGAACACTAATAAATTATTGCTCTCTGCATGGGATTTCATGGCAGAGATTCTTCTATTTCAGCATGCATGTACGGAACTAAAGGCACCTACTATACCAGCGATGGCAAAACTTTTAGGCATCGAGTGCCCAAAGGGCACATGCGTGCCCAAACTGCAAGGTGCGGGTGCATGCATGTCTGTGCTCTGCGCCTGCACGTGGTCCCAGTGCATGTGTGGCAGAGACCCAAAGACCAGATGGCCAGTGGGAGGTGTGTGCACATGCATTGCAACAGACCTGGGGTGATGGCGCATGTGCCCACACAGAGAGGGCTCTGTGTACCATCTCTGGCATGTGTGCTATAGGTTTGCCACCACTGTACTATACCACTGTACCTTTCTCAGCCTTGCCTATGTTACAGATTTATTATAGTGATGATAACTGGGTGCTACTATATATGCCAGTTTAAGTTCCTGGAGGAAAGGTGCATTATATGTTCAAAAGATGAGGAAATAAATACACTAACTGTATCAGAGGTGGGTTCCTACCGGTTTAGACTGGTTCGGCTGAACCTGTAGTAATTTGGTGGCCTGGGTTGCTGGAACTGGCAGTGACCCAGGCCTGCCATGCCCCCAAATTGGTTCTCTCAGCGGCACCATAGGCAGCGCCATCTCGTTTTTGCCTTCTGCGCATGTGCAGAGCAATTTTTGTTGCACTTGCATGCGTGGGCGCACAGCACATCCCTGAGAGAACCAGCAATAGCGGCAGCCGAAACCCACCCCTGAACTGTATTGCTAAACTTTTCTTTTCAAACCAGATTGATTTTGAGAAGATAAACTATTTTCCTCAACAGTTTAATAATTTGGCCCATTTTCCTAAATCAGATATAATAGACAATCCTAGCAAAGCCCTTGATTGGGTCCCACTTTCCTCCTCATCTATCTGGGCAAGGAACGTGGAAAAATTTACTCCTCAGAGATCTGCTCAAATCTGCTGTTTGAAGCAACATGAGATTACCTGAGACTGTCAGAGAAAGCCTCCACTCCATACTTTGAGATAGAGTAGCCACCTCCCATGGTACTCAGTCGACCCATGATGCTGGACATGTTGACTACTCTTCCCCTGGCCTTCTTCACCAAGGGCAACATATGCAGTGTCACATCAATCAGCCCAATTAGATTGACATTCAGCACTTTCATATAATCCTCTTTGGTCAGCCATTCATTGGGGCCGAAAGGGTACACAAGTCCGGCATTATTTACCAAGCCCCAGAGTCCTGCAAAGAAAAGAGAGCAAGTATGTAAAAGTTTACACGTGAAAGAGACTGAAAATGTGGCCCTGGCTGAGTAGAGTTTGGGGTGGGGAAGATAATCAATATAAAAGTAAATTTATTTTTCCTCTTCACGTCAATATCTTTAACTTAACTGGGAGTCCTCAAAAAATCTTCTATGTGTGTTTCTTAGCCTAAGGGGAAACTTCCTTGAATAACATTAAATTAAGAGCCAAGACACATTGAAAGAATGTTTTAATCAGCACTAGCTATATAATCCCATGATCTAGGATTAAATATATCAAAAAAAAAAAATATCATAAGGAAATCTTCCTAATCATAAACCTTCTGAGATATTTCATCTCATAAAGAGAATTTCCTAATCAATTTATAATCCGCTCCAGAAGATTGAGAAGCCTGTTTACCGTACCTTTGTTCCCCACACATTCTTTCACCCATACAGTCGCTGCCTCAATGCTCTCGGTACTGGTGACATCCAGCAGGGTGGTTTTCAAACGATTCGATGTGAGTCTCTCCAGTTGCTGTGCTCCCGTTTGGGTGAGACAAGCAGCCAACACCCGCAGGCCCTGAGCATCCAGTTGCCTGGCCAGCTGGTTTCCAAAACCAGAATCACAGCCAGTGATGAATACATATTTCTCTCTCAGGTTATCTACCTGCTGTCTTTCTCGATAGGACCGTATCACAAAGTACAGCAAAACTGCCAACGCCAGGTAGAACCACATGCTTGCTGTGTATTAAAACAAATCAAAATTTTAAAGTCTTTGGGTTTCCTGTTTCGTTTCGTTTTTAAACCAATTTTCCTGGTCTTTCTCCTTCTATCTGCTGTCCTTCTGATGTTAATGGGCAGCAATGTGCTCCCATGAGAACTGGTATGAAGCATCCAATTCACAGGTTAATGATTAATGAAATGATGTTTGCTATAGCTGCTTTGAAGTTCATTGAACCTTCCCTTTAGCAAATAACCTCCTCAGCAGTGTGGCCAATTCTGTCTATGTAACTTCACCTGGAATAAACTAGCATAGTTGAAATATTACTAGAGGTGAAAGGTGCTTTTGAGACAACTATGACCTTGATGGCTGAAAATTTCCACAGACATACTAGAGGTGGATTTTCAGCGTGACCCCACAAAAGCACGCACGACAAAAGTGCGCCGACAAAACCACGTCACTAAAACCGTAATGTCATCAACGTGCCAACAACAGCGCGGTGCCAACAGCGCAGCAAAAGAGGGGCGCTTTACAACAGCACGTCGACAGAAAGCCAATTTAAGTTAAGGTAAGGGTTAGGTTTAGGGTTAGTTTTAGGGTTAGATTGAGGGTTAGGGTTAGCGTTAGCGTTAGCGTTAGCGTTACGTTTAGGGTTAGGGTTAGCGTTACATTTAGGGTTAGGGTTAGGATTAGGTTTAGTTTTACAGCGCGCTTCTGTCGCCGCGTTGTTGTCGGCGCAATTCAGCGCTCATTCATCAGAGCGCTTTAGAACTCGCAGGTTTGTCACCGCGGTTTAGTCGGGCGTGGTTTTGTCGTTCGCCTTTTTGTCGGTGAACCGATTTTCACTGCTCTCCTGCTACAAATGAACTATCATTCCATGTCAAGAAATTTGGTATTTTTGTACAGTCCTCAATCTACAATTGGTTATTTAGCAACTGTTTGAAGTTATGAGGGACCTCCCTGGGATTAGTTCTGATCCAGTTCTAAAGTTCCAATAGCTGCCCCCTCCCTCACATGTCAGGCACTTTTCCACTAGTCCACATTTACAACCATTTGTAGCATCCTGCAATCACTCAACTTGTTTTATGCTATTTTTGCCGAAAACCATTTTTTATTTCTCATTTTTGGTAAAACCGAGCCTTAGCAAACAATTGGTCCACTTAACGATTGCCACAGTGGTGGCTTAATGATTACTGCAAAAAAGGTCATAAAATTGTATCAGTCAGTCAAGTGGGTGAACTACTTTATAACTATCACAACCTATGACTGTACTGGGCATGCTCCATTACAGTTGTAAGTCAGAATTAACTTTAGATGTGTAGATCTCATTATTATCCATTGCATAATATACACTGAAAGTGTGTGGTGTCTGACTTGAGTGCTCTGCACTGTTTGCCAGTTGCTTAGTGGGCAGAATTAAATGTGTTGCATTGAGTTTTAAAGCTTTAAATGAGGGGTGTCAAACACAAGGCCCGCGGGCCGGATCCAGCCCATGATGTGGTCAGATCCAACCCATGGGGCCATCCTGCAAAATGTAAGGGGGTCGCCAGCATTGCTATAGCCTGGACTACCCGCATCACTTTAGCCCAGTCTACCCATTGCGAAGAGGAAACATGCCAGCAGTTTGGGGAATGGAGTCAAGCTGGCCCATCCAGTCAGCCACACCCAGTTAATGGAGTCAAGATGGCCACCACCACCCCCAATAACTACCCCCTTGCCCGCCCCCCCCCAAGGTCAACCACAGCCCTGATGTGACCCTCAATGAAATTGAGTTTGACGCCCCTGCCTTAAATGGTTTGGGGTCTGACTACCTAAAGGACTACCTGGCTGTTTAGCTCAGCAGAAACAGAACTCTACACTGTCAGGGTTTTGCCACTCTGGCATGTGGGAGTTTCTCTGAAGTTGTTCCCAAGCCATAGAAGGCACTTCCTCAAGAACTGTTTGACCAGCACTTTCTCAAAAATTAGAAGTTCCACAAATATCCCCATTAAATGAGTTCATTATTTGTTTTATTTATATATTTAATCTATTTTATTTTACTTTTTATATTGTGTTTGTATTGAAATTTAAGGGGGAGGGGGTGTCTTGAGTGCTTGTAGAGCAGAAAGCAACAATTTACACCTTGGAATTTGTACCCTTAGTAAAGATACATTGTCACCCTTTTTATAATTAGTTTGTCCCCGATCATTAAAAAGGTGCGCATACTGGCTGTTAAGCAGTTAAGGTTACTTAAGTACATCAATAGTCAATTTCACAATTCATTCTTTCCAGTTTCATAATCCCCTACCATTTCAAGGTGGATAGAAATTTGCCAGTTTGGTTTTCCCCGAGGCTTCCTTGTAGCTCTGAAACTCCAGTTTTGACAGAAAGCCTCAAACAATCTTCCACCAGACTTTGAACCTTTCCTAATTGCCAAGTCATCTTTGAACTGGCAAAACAACATAACTGCATAAGATTTGCTGATCCCTATCCAGCTTTTATTTGAAGTCACTGCAATCCTTTCACTTCTCTCCAAGGTAATAGGGGGCAATGCTCAGCAACTTTTACACAGCTTGAAGCTTCTTTTAGATCAGTGGTTCCCAATGTGGGGCCCACGCCCCACAGGGGGGCAATTTGATTTTCAATGGGGGAAAGTTGAACCGTGTTTAAACCAAGTTAATGGTCTTTTAGGCTTCCTCCACATGAGTAGAGTTCACTTTTTGAGTAAAGTAAGAATTATATATAACAGGGAGGGCATCAGGATTTTAGAGATACTTAGGTGGGGCATGGCCAAAAAAAAGGTTGGGAACCACTGATTTAGATGGTGTTAGCAGAAAAGTGAAAACATTACTTTAGCAGGTGTCTGGCATTCAATTGTCATCATCGTTTATTTTGGTCTTTGCCCAACACAATCTACATTCAATACTACAATTAAAATCATCCCATTGACAACAGTACTCTAATCTACATATTTTAAAAAGTTAACTTTTTTAAATTAGTTTTTATACAGTTTTTTTACAAAGCAAAAACAATACTGATTCAAAAAATAAAGTAAAGAAAAAGTGATTAATAGAAAAGAAATGAATGAAAAAAGACATGAAAGAAAAAAAGATATAAAGGAGTGGCTTCCAATCTTCTTTGCAGCAGTTACAGTGGCAATTATATTTCATTCTCTCTCTCTAAGATTAAATCATGATTCCCGTCTTTCCATAGTCTACCTTTCCAATCATCAGACCCATAAAGGTTCACTTTTTCTGTTTTCAGCAAAAAGTCCATAAAGTGTTTTTAGCCATTAAAAAATGAGTTTTCCCTAGTCATACAAATCAATTTTGCCTTCTCTACAAATTCTGTCATCTTCACCAATTATTCTTCTATTTTGGGTATTTCAGTGTCTTTCCATCTTTATGTATGTTTGCCAGTTTGCTAGTCTGCAGTTTGGCATTATGGCACCAGACTAGAAAGGTGAACATCATGAGTTCTAGTTTCGCAGTTAGCTCTGAAAGCCAGCTAAGTGACTTTGAACCAGTCACCTTCTCTCAGTCCAACTGAGAAGTTATTATCATGGGAAAAATAGGAGGAGGAAGCTATGTTGGCAGCAGAATGGATGGATGGATGAATGAATGAATGAATGAATGAATGAATGAATGAATGAATGAATGAATGAATGAATGAATGAATGAATGAATGAAATAGTCTTGATGCAGTTCCATGTACAAAAACAATTGTCCTTAAGTGAAAATATTCAAGTATATGACTTCAGCTGCATCACTCACGGGCTGGGAATGAAATTAAAACCATGTCATGGGGATAAAAAGCTGTTATCAGAGCATGTTTGTGCTGAGATTAGAGGCAAATGCCCATAGGATACAGTAAAAATCCTTTTAAAAAATCCCAGTGATTTTTTTTTTCTATATTATAATAGCTTAAGAAGTACGAGTGATGGATGTTGTTCCCACCAGCAAAAATCCACCTATCACCAGACTTTAACAAGTACTGTCATCTTAAATTTGCTAAAGAATGAGAAACAATCTGAAGGAAGCAGCAAACTACGCTTCCATTGTAAAAGCTCCTTCACAGACGGAAAGAAAGTTCAGCTGTGCTGCAGTGTTCTTACTTCTGGTTACATTTTTTAAATCCTCGAATAATCCATTGCTCCTTCGTATCCGAGTATTCGCTGAAGTAGAAAGTCAAAAGATTAACTCTCGGGCTAAACCCACACTTCACTATGAGACTGGGGCGGGGAGAGGAAACCACTGGAGGTCGTCAGAGGCCACCTTAGAACAACAAGCCCCTTCTGTCCGACTTTTTTTCTGGAACTACAGTTCCCAGAAGCACCTAGACAGGCGTCCGCTGTTCGGATTGGCTCTAAAGCGGCAAGTGGGTGGTGCCTAATTTCTCCCGCGCTCTCCTGTTTTGCCGAGATCATGGCAAGCTTCGATTCCGGCTCATTGCCTGACTTGCTGCGCCTTTATTACCGTCGCCTCTTCCCTTTCGGCCTTTACGGCCGGTGGCTCCGCTACGGTGACGGTGAGGAAGAGGTCGAGGGGTTTCGGGACCCCGGTGGGAGGGCGCGGGAGGCCGAGGGAAGGTCTGCAGGAGACTGCTCAACCAGTTGAAACATGGGTGACTCTGAGCATGTGCAAAATTCGGCTGCTGAACACTCCGCTTCTGTAAGATTTCAAGGGAGGAGCTTTTGGGATTGAGATTTAGGGGGAGTTAGAGGAGATCAACACGCTTTTTGTGGGGTTTTAAGGTTAGGGTAGGGACATGGGCCTGACTAGGTGGCTCAGTGGTAAAACACTGAGCTTGTCGATCAGAAAGGTCGGCGGTTTGAATCTGTAGTACAGGTGGTCTGCATGAGCAGGGGGTTGGGCTAGATGACCTCCAAGATCCCTCCCAACTCTGTTACTGTTTACTGATGTTGGCGCAGCAATATGAATTTTGAAACAAGTGCTGGCCAGATTCCTTTGTGTCTAACTGCCTGGATCTGTTCAGTAATGCAAAGATGTATTGGTAGCTTTTCCCCCCAAAACCACTTAAATTGACTCATGAAGCAGGAACAAAGCATCCTCCATAATCTGGAGGCACTACCTTTTTTGAGTACCCAGGTACATTACACAACATATAGAATGGGACTTCGTTTTAATTGGATTTTAGAGACGGTGTTTAAGA